TTGATTGTTTGCGTTTATCTAAAGCTGATTATTATTTATCAATGCGTAAAATTATCTTGCGATTGCTATAAATTTACGGATTTTTTTTGGTTAGTTTAAGTAGTGACTTAATAGACTTTTATGATTTTGATCTGTTTTGAAGTCAACTTGATGAATTTTACAGATTTTTGAAGTCTATTCATTCTCTTGAGATTCGCTTGCTGAAAATTTTTTCAGTTGAATTGAAAATGACTTGCAATGATTTTATCAGATTTGGTATATATGACAAATCATATAAAGCGAATATAAAATGGAATGGAATGTAACGAGAAGCACATATTTACTGCACTCAAAACACACTAAATACATAATTATAATTGTTTGAATTGAATGACATGAAAAAAGTTCAAAAATAGTATTTAAATAAGTATTAATTTCTCATAGTTTCATTTATATAAGCCTGAAAAGTATTATAATTTCAAATTTTAAAAAGCAAAAAAAGACTGCAAACATACTTAGGATATTTAGAAATCGTAATGACAGCGATGAATTGAAAGATTGACCCGATTTTTCAAATAAATAATCTTAGTGAAATCTAGTAGTTTCAAAGATTTGCTGTATAATTGAAACTAAGTTTCAAAAATTCACGAAGACAAATAAATATTTGATTGAGTACAAAAATATAATGTGATTAAAGGAATCGTGAGAAATATTTTCGAAAATTAGCAAATGATTCCATGAATTGTAAAACTTAAATGGACATGGAGATGACCCGAAACAGTGGAATTAAGATGTGAAGAAGTCATTTTAAATATTATCAATTAGAGTTCAATGATTTCAAAGCAAATTCAAAAGGAAAGAATGAATGCAAATAGATTGACTAGGACTGAGTAGAAGATGGAAGTCGGTCAATTAAGATTCACTTGACGAAAACATGACTCAAATATTTGCTGGACATGTTCGCAACTTGCTCTCGGGAAGTATTTCTTGGCTAGTGGACAGTTGTCGCGAACCCAGTTAACCGGATTTATCATTTCGAAAACTCTGGCAAACTTTCGTATCACTAGACATTGCTCTGATGACAATGTGTGTTCAGAACTTGTCTACAATGAAAAAATTTATAGTAAAAGTAATATGGCTAACAAATCTAATATAAATTAGTAACAATACAATTAAGATATAAAACACACTTTTGATAGTTTCTACGGAAAACAAACAGCATATTGTTTTATTCTCACTAGAAGATTAATTTTTGAGTTGATTGCAGTGAAAATATTTGCGAATTTAATCATGACAGTGACTTTAAACTGAACCACATTAGCATCATTAATACAAAGTGTTAGTTTTTTATTATTTTTTAGTGTTATTTCTTGATAAATATATTTGCTCAAACTTTTTCTGGTAAACTTAGCTTCTATAGAAATTAAAATCAAACTTGGAAATTTTCTTTGTTTGAATCTTATGGTATCTGTAATAAGTTTGACTCCACTTTAATTTAATTGAAATGTCTCGAAATTGCAACAACCTGAATGTTATATTCTGAAAGCAAAGGGATATCAGTTTGAGAATCTGAGAAGTTGCCATGAGTAAGCAAGATTCCATGTTCTTTGTTTTTGAAAAATTGTACCAATTTCTCTCTTTCAAGTGATTCTCGATGTAGTCTTTCTTTTTCTGCTAATTCTTCTAAATGTTGAGTGATTGTTTGCTGCCGTTCGATATACGCTTCATCATTTAAACCACGTCGAAGTTCTAATTCTTTTGCTAGTACTGCCTGTTCTTCACGCAAAAGACGTGCCTCAAAATTTTTTCTTTTTAGTACGCAAACTCAATGGAAGACTTTTTTAATTATTTTTGATAAGATTTGCGAAAATTCTCGAATTAAGAAATAAGATAGTACTTTTTCTAACCGAGCCTTCTCTTCCATAAGTTTGGCGTTTTGATCGTAATTTTCCATTTTTACTTTGCTTGGGAATGCCTTTTTATATAACGCCTCCTTCTCAGCAAATTTCACATTTCGATTTGCTGAAACGGTAGTTTGTCCTTGGTAGCTTACGGTTTTTTCTTGTTCCTCCAATGAAGTGGTCACTGATGAATTGGTCATTGATGAGCTGAAATCGTCATTGCTTTACATTTATGTAAATTAAACTTTGGATGCAAATTTCAAGCAGCAAATACTTGAAGAAACAATAAATAGAAAGTGTAATTAAACTGTATCTAAAATTTTTGCAAAAAAATCAGTAACAAACTCAGACATCAAAACTTTTCATTCTAATATACATATTTACTGTGTGCAAAATGTTTGCATCAATTTTTCTGAATAGCAAGAATGCAGGAAATAGTTGGGGTTCTTATCTGTCTCAAACCTTACATTAAAACTAATTGCTTTTTGAATTAGATATTTTCACAGCAAAAAGTTAAGTAAACTATTACTGAAGACTGACTCACTTTGACTTTGAATAAGCAAAAGTATGAAGTTATTTTCTACCTTTCAGTTTGTTTGTTTTTTGAGATAAATTTGAATTTTCTTTAGTTTGATTTCACTAACACATGTATTTTGAAACAAAACTTTCAAAAAATTTCGTTTTGCATTTTGAAGAATAAATTAGAAAATTTTCAAATTTTGATGTTGAAAAAGTTTTTACTTGTGAATATTTTTAACAGTAAAACTGCGTTTTTGTTAATCTTACTCATTATTGTCAGGGAATAGCATTTGAGAATGTCCTTGCTGTACAATTGGATTCTGATGTCTTAGTGTCTTTATTCGTTCTATTTGAAATTCTTTTGCAAATACTGCTGAATTTTCATCAACTAAGAAATCTACATTTGGTTTCGCATCGTTTTCTGAATCTTCAGCTCTATGCTTTACAGAGACATTTGATTTTGCCATAGCAGTCATGCCATGTGATCTGGTCGTATCGTTTATTTTTGATGGTTTTTCGAGTGCTTTTTCTGCCTCGTAATGAACTTCACTTTTCAATTCTTTTCTTGGTTGTATCTGAAAGCCTTGCGATTGTGCTGATTCCATAATAGCTGTTGGATTCATAACTTCAGATTCAGATTTTCTCTCGTCTGCAGGATTAAATCCTGTTCTCTTGATTAAATCAGCTGGTCCAGCGGTATTTTTATGCTCACTCTGATTTCCCTGATCACTTAATTCAATTTTAACTAAATACTGATGCACTTCTTTTTTATCCTTATCAGCTCTATTCATGCTATGCACCTGAAAAACTTTTCTAATTTATTACTTATTCATAGCTCAAAGAATTTTCTAAAAATCGCAATGCATGGAGAAAAAATTTTTGATTACAAAAAATATTTTGATAAATTTTTAATTACTTTTCTGACTGAAAATATGATCAAGATTCGAAATATTCTGTTTTTTTGGTAAACAAAAACTACTACCTCCTGAGAATTTTCAGAATCACTTGCTTCGTCTTTAGTTATTTTCCAGCTGTCCTGATAAGCTCGAAGTTTCTGTCGTAGTTTTGCAATTGCTTTCCGCCACCCTTGCCTGATTTGCTCGTATGGATCTGTATCAGTATCAGTATCACTTTCTATTTCTTCCACCTTAAAGCTTTCTCCACCACCAATTTCAGCCTTCTGTGTTGTCGTCAGAAATCTGTCTCGGCTGAATTTATCTGTTACAGCTCTAGTTTTTAACAGTTCATGTAAGGGAATCAGAATTTTAGAATCATCTCCTCTAGTTATTTTGAGCACTGAGTCTACATGAATATCTTTCGTCGTTGTTTCTTCCTTCTCGAACAACAATGGTCTTACGTATGTTACGTCTGAATCTTTTGACTCTTCTAAAAGATAATCTTGCAATGTAGAATTAGTTGTATTTGTGAGATTTCTTTCTGTTGTTTCTTCCATGTTTTGCGTTGCAATAGTAGAATTCATTTCATAATCGGCTGTTTTGTTTTCAGTTTCTAAGATGGAAATTTCTGAAACACCAAAATGACTCTTTTTCGTTTCATTCAATGCCTTCATTTCATTCATTTCATTCACTTCATCCTCTTCTGTTTCTTCTGAATCTTTTATGCTTAATAAGAGAGCAGTTTCAGAGCTTCCTTTAGTCTTGTTAGATTCATGTAAGTCATGATCTGATATTGGTAACGAAATAGTAGTATTTATAGAGGCATAGTTATCTTTGAGACCAGTTGCTTCTGTAGTATTCACATAACTTTCTGGGGATTCCTTGGGAATAACTTCAGATGTAAGAACTGCATCTGTGCTGATTTTGTCAAAATCAGTTTCATTTTGAGCTTCAACAGTTTGTAGGGTTGATTCCACTGTTTCAGTTGTTACTCCTTTTGTTACATTACTCATATTATTTGTTAAATCATGAGAAGTAACAAATGCCGTGCTTGTTCCTACTTTTTCTGTCCTCTTATTGCTTTCTGTATATAATTTACTTTTTTCTATTACTTCTTCACTTGCATCTTGATTCTCCATCGCTACTTCATCCAAAACGGTTGTGGATTTTGAAGATTCTGTAGTTACTATTAACTTTTTGGCTGACTTCCTCACTTTCACAAAATCGTCATCATCCGTAGGCAAAACTCTCACTACATTAAAATCTATTGAAGTTTTGTTTGTAGATGTTTCAGCGATAAATTCTTTCTCAGACGTTTCCGAAGTTGCTTTCGTGTCATCTAAGTGACTTATTGACGGTAAAGTGTAATCATCTGTACTTGCCAAGTCACTATATATTGTGGTTTCCGAAATACTGACAATAGTTGGCAATTTGGGCGTTAAAGACGATAAAGCTGGTTCTAATAAGAATTCTACAGATTTGTTATCAGTTCGATCCAAAGGTGTGATGACTGTTGTAGATTCTAAAATTATATCCAGCACTTGTGGTTCAATTGTCGATACTGATGAGGTTGCTGTATCTGCAGCCGATTGTGAAGTAATAGTTTTACCAGTGGCTGTGAACGATTCTGAAAATGGAAAACGCGAGGATTCTGTTTCTAACGATTTAGTTGATGGATCATCCAAGACACTTCCGCTTGATTTTTTCGTTGTCATTTTGATAGGAGCTATTTTGCTTTGTAGTTCAGTTTCTTCAGATACTGCAGTGTATGTTTCGGTGTCGTTTGTGTCTGATTCTGAAGTTGCAAGATTTGCAAATTCTGCTACTGTGGATAATCCACCTTCTACAGAAGGTATGAATTCTAATGTTGTTTTAGAAACGTATTCATCTTTTGCTTCTTTAGGAATTGTTGTTGATAATTGTTTTTGTTTGCTTGCATCTGCTCTGGGTCTTTCAAATTTGTATGTGATAAATTCAAATTCAGAGCGAGTCGTTGAAAGTGTAGATATGTCTTGTGGCGTAGTTTCTATGCTTAAGTTAGAACTACCTATTTCAATAAATTGTGCATCGCCTTCATCAAATATTTTCTCTTCAGTGGCTTTTGTTTTAACGGACGTGTCTGTTGTGATACTTCGTTCAACACTTTTAATTGTCTTCATCGATATTTGTGATTGATTTTTGCCATGAAATTCCTTAGAAGTAAATTCATCAATCTCTGTTATGCTCGGAAACTCTGTTTCAACAGGAATTGTTGATGTTATGGTTTCTTGCTGTGGTAGTATAATTGGCAATTTTGTTGATTCCGTCAGCTTGATTGAGTTTGTAGATTCTTTCCTTTCTGAAACCGAAGTTGTTTCTGATTCATAATGTGAAGCAGTACTGGATTTAGAAGCAGTTCTCGATATCGCATCAGCAGTTTGTGCTGTAGATGTAAGTTGCTTCTCTACGTCTTCAAAATCTTCTACATCCATGAATTTACTTGCAGTGCTTGGAATTACTTGCGTAGAAGCATATTTTTTTTGTGTATGTTTTGAATCTTCCAAAAAGTCAATTTTGATATCATTTGCTTGCGTTGTTGCCGTAGACTGATAAGTTTTGTCAGGTAATGCTGAATGCGAATTTTCAACTTCGCTACTTGTAGCTGAAGAAGATTCAGATTCTTCTGTGACGGGAGACAAAATCGATGCAAGTGTAGAATCCATCGTAGCTTGTGAGGATGATGGACTCTGCGCCGTTATTAACTCAGAAAATAACGATGTCGGTTTTGAATTTGTAGGGGGAATACAAGAACATCTACAAGTGCATTGATTCTGATTTATCTCCTTTACAATTACGAAATCTGAAATATGTGCTGTTTTCAATATTTGATTTAACTTGAACATGTTCTTGGATGTAACAAAGTGATTTAAAAAATCTTCCATAAACAGAAATGTTTTTGAAAACTCCCTCATGAGAGATTTTTGAAGGCTAAATAAAAAGCTTAGAAGTTAGTTTAAGTTGCTTAGCGAGCAAAAATGCTGCAGTGACTGCAGAACTTTTTGCAGTGTCCGTGTTCAGGGTTTGTTTTTCACGTCAGTCGTTGACATTGCTGATAATAGACTGAATCATTAGGCAAAT